TCCTAGGAGAATACTTTATAAATGAAAGAATGGTAGTTGCCTAAATTTTAGCAAATGTAGCCATGAGGTCATTCTCCTTTTCTAGAATACTTTGTTTTATATCAACTGATAAAAAGCAGCTTATTGGAAACTTGTCATTTTTTTAGATTTTCAGGTAAGGACGGGTCTGTTTAAGAGGTTTATAACAGTTTGCTTCACTTCAGTTTTAGATGATTATCCATAGTTGTAAAGGCTTAAATTATTGGGAACTATTGAGAATTTTTTATGTTATACTTTATATTTGTCATGGTAGGTCAAACCACATTAAACCCAAGATAGGATATAGGGTTTTAACTTACTGGCATTTAATACCTTGCATAGTGTGGGAGATACTAGGATGATGTCACTGTCTACTAATGTGCTGATTAAGTAGTTTTTTCACCTGTACAGATGTAGGCTGAAAATAGTTAACATGAGTTACATTTTAGTACAATACAGTTTCTACTGAATTTTTCAAGTTGAGACATAAAAATTAAGTCATTTAAATATCTATAGTCTAATCAAAATATCTTAGAAATATTAATTGATACTGCTTTCTACACAGGAGAACACAAAGTTATACCTCAATTTACTTGAAATGGAATATAGTGGTGACCTCAGACAAAATGAAGAAAATATCCTAAATTGTTTTGACAAAGCTATACATGGTTCATTACCTATTAAAATGAGAATTACATTTTCTCAGAGAAAAGTGGAATTTCTTGAAGATTTTGGTTCAGATGTTAATAAGTAAGATCTTAATTATATATTACCTATCTGAATAGTAAACGAGTGTGAGTTTTGGATGGGAATTTGATGATTAGTACAAGTTCACATATTACTATATTTATAGTGTTTCGAGGTTACTTTTTCCTCAGGTAGATAGGGGGGTAAATTCAGTTTTGCAGATTTATATGTGCTTAACAGGAGAATGCATGGTTTATCTTTCTTTCAAAGCTGTTTTCAGAATTTTAGCCTAGTAATTTAAATGAGTAGATGAGAGAAGGAAGGAAGCAGCAAGCCTATGAAAAAGGAAATGGGTCAAGTATTGAACCCTGAAACACAAAACATTTAGTATATAGGCATGAAAGACTTTTAGGGTTAATCTGGAATAGGAATGCCATTTTTACCTCAGATTGGAGAAAGGATGGATGTCATTTCACAGATCCTCATCTTATTTATATATATTGTGTATATATATTATATATGTGTGTGTGTGTATATATAATGTCATATATATATATGTATATATATCATATGATGGTCTCATCTTTGTGCATTGTACAAAGCTGAAAGTTGAGGGTGGTAGGAAGGGTTCATTCTAGCAGATTTGGGAAAAGGACAAGTTTAAGATTTAAATTTGCCAAAAACAAGAGTAGAAGTATTTATTAGAGCATTCTGCCATTCTGTTTTTACCTGATTCTAGTAAGGAAATATCCCAGTTCTTGTTAGACATGTTCCTTCTCTAATTATTCTAATTTAGAGTGATTTCCATTGAAACAGCTGTTGATGAAATGAGAATTACACTTGTGTGTCTGCTTATATGTGTGTATTTGCTTTTGATGGCTGAGTAAAATTTTAAAGAACATGAGTTACATTCTAGTAACTCATGTAATTGTATATGCAATATCACTTTGCATCATATTAAATGTTTTATGTGAATTATCTGATGTTAAAATAACCTAACAGTCTAATGAGGGTGTAAGTACTGTTGTCCTTTAAATAGAACAGAGGCTTAAAGAGAGATGAGGCAGTTTTTCCAAGGTCGCTTAGCTACTACATTGTACAACTGGGATCAGAACCTACTTCAAAGTCTGCTCTTTATCACCCCACATTTAGTGTCTTTGGTTAGTTTTGCACTGAAGAAAGTATAGAAAGAAATGGAATACATAATTTTAGCTTTCAGTCTAATTGAATGGTGTGGAGATCAGAGGAAATCCATGAGTATTTGAAGTAGTATATAATTGTTAAGAAGGTTGTGATGTCTAGTAGATCAGAATGGATTTTTCATCATAGAGGAAGTGAGGCTTCATTTAGTTATTACCACTGAATTCTGACAAGCTAATGAGTAAAAATGGTGAAAGCAAGATGAAGCTTCATATAAAAGTAACGTCTGCCTGATCGGAAGGTTTTCAAGTAGTGGAAGTGTGCTGTTGATTTCACTATTCCCTGAAAGCTAGGCTCAGTTCAGAGCACGTGCAACAGGATGTACAGTTGACAGTAGCTTCAAAGCTATTAAGTCTTGACTGAGAGTGAATGGCATACTCTAATTTGGCAGTAATATGCAGACAAGTCTGAAGTCCAACACAAAGGTGTCAGTGAGGCCCTTGAAAGTACAGTGTGGAGGGTCTGAGTATTAGGTCCTATGCTGTTGTAATTAAAAAGGGAATGATAACGAAAAATAAATGAGCCACTTAGAAATTTAGGTAGCAGTATAATGCACTGGGAGGAATTGATATTGAAGTTAGACAAAATATAGACTTAAATTCTAGCTCTTTTACAATTTGTGTTTTCCTCAGTTTCTGTATTATTTCATAGAAAGATTGAGTTTCTTACCAGCTAACCCACAGGTTGTTAAAGGCCTTAAGGAAATTAGTGCATTTAAAGTGCTTAGTGTTGAATGAACTTATCACATGGCCAAAGTTTAAATGCACTTCATCCTGACTGGTGGCAGGTGTCTTCAGTAAGCATTGTTAAATTAGATCTCAAACTTATACAAATTAAAGAACTGTCAAGACTTGTTGTTGCACTGAACAAAAAACACATCATCAAGGTCACTTATCTGTGTGATCGTTTTTTAGGCAGGTTCTCCCTGTGTATTAGAAATGATAAACACAGGTAGCTTTTGACTGGCAGACATCCCATCATTTTTAGCCAACTGTAATATATAGGTTACAGGCACTTTTCCAGTAGAAATCCTGGACTTAACTACATGTTCTGGTTTGGGTCATATGCTTACCTCTAAACCAATCATTGATTAAGGGTATATGTTACTGTAATTGCCAGGACTGTACACCTGAAGTCCCGTTTGAATCACATGGACTGAGAAGGAAAGTGTAGGGCAGTGGTTTCCTCAAAAGAAATAGAAAAGGGGGCAGGGTTGCTTGCTGCCTTATTTAGAAAAAAAGTTAATGCATCTTCATTGCAATATGCTTTTCTTTTCCTAACTGGAAATAACTTGTAAAATTAGAAAAGTTTACTGGTTTGGTTATTATATATTCCAGAGGATTTTTTTTTTCCATCTTTCTCAGGCTTTTGAATGCTTATGATGAACATCAAACTCTCTTAAAAGAACAGGATTCTCTAAAAAGGAAAGCAGAAAATGGGTATGTCATTTCTTGTTGAATCAGGAAAGGATGCTTAGAAACATTTCATTGTGGAAATGCCTGTAAAGACAGGCATTTTAAAATACTCCCTTTATGTTGTGGTAATTTAGATACTTTATTTTCATGATTATGAAAAAATTACATAGAATAATTGGTCGAGAACTTTAATAAAAAACATGCATAAGGTCTTTCATTTGTTTGTAGAATACTTATCTGTGGGAGTTATGAAAGTTTCCATTTTGATCTCTTTTAGATCAGAAGAACCAGAGGAAAAGAAAGCTCACACAGAAGATACAACTTCATCTTCCACACAGATGATTGATGGTGATTTACAGGCAAATCAAGCTGCATATAATTATAGCGCCTGGTATCAAGTGAGTTTGCTTAATTATCATGGAATATTTTTCATAGATGTTATTATGAAAACACAAATTAGTTTTTTTTTTAAAGAAAAAACTTGCTTCTTTTCCAAATTGTCTAATACATTGTCTTTTGTGGTTGTCTTAGAATTCAGCAGTGAACACAAGACTATTTTCTTAAATACACCTGCTTTAATTATATTTTTATATATGGAATTCAGCCAGTTCTAGTATGCTGATATGTTTGCTTTTTCATTTCAGTACAATTACCAGAATCCTTGGAATTATGGACAGTATTATCCTCCCCCTCCAACCTGATGGGAAACTGTAAATATCACATGGAGTGTGTGAAAAGTTCAAAATTATTTTTTTTAATGAGGGATGTAAACATAGCATAAGGTTGTTGTATTTGATAATTTGTCTTCATGTGTAACATGATTTATTTAGTAATAGGGGAAAATGTCACTTAGTAGCTTAACCACAGATACTATTTCCTACCATTTATAAATTTTACTTTAAAATTTACTTCTTATTGGAGAACTATTTTTTGATTTTTGCATTAAGTGTCTAGAATTCTTTTGCAATGTATTTGCAACAGAATTTTGTAGCCTTAAGGGTAGGAAAAAAAACCTGACCGCAAATCATGTCAGTGTAGTACAATATTATGATAATACATAAGGGCTGGTCATTAAGGATTTACCTCTGTTAAAAAGATTTTTAACCTTTGCTAATGAGGTTTTGTCTGGTGTTTCAATTATTCTTGTGAATTTGGATTTAACTGCAGAAAAGATACACTATTAAGATATTATGTATGTCTTGGAATAGGGATTATAAATGAGAAAATGAGGTGTTTGCATCCCTTTAAAAAAGTGAAAATCATATCAAAAGTATGTTTCAGGTGGCTTTGTATTTAGAATATTCATGTAAAACTTGTGAGCAAGCTTTCATTTTGATCAAAGTGATCATCTTCATTTTTGTAATAAAATTGAAGACTCAGATTAATTGTTATGAAATTATTTGGGGATCACCTAGTAATACCAGCTTTTTATAGTCACCATTATTACTGGGTCACTGGTTTTGAGATATATCTTTCTTGAATTTAGCTATTACCTTGCAAGAATTTTTTAGACCTTTCAGCTTTTTGCTGCCTCTTAATTTCTATGGTTTTGCCTTCTCACTATATAGGAAATGTATTTTAAAAGATTTTTAAGACAAGTATTTTAACTCTCTGGTTTGATGTCTTAGTCCTTGTTAACCTAAATCAGAACATTAATATAATATATAAACAACAAACAAATCAAGACACTGGGTACATTTTTATTGACCCTTTCAGTTTACAACATGAGGTAAAAGTAAAATCAGTTCTCCTTAACCAACATTTTACACAGTTGTAGTAAAATATTTTAAACTTCAGGGATTAATGACACATTACATTTCTTAATAGTGGGGGATCCAGTAAATAAGTTTTAACTCCTTGAATTTTCTAGTTGACTCTTCCTTATAATAGTAACCAGCTCTAATTTAGTTACATAAGTTTCTTCAAAGCTTTGTTTTATTGTTGCTGTCATTATATCTAAAGCATTGCTGTTTCAATCAATGTCCACTAATTCCACTTCAAAAATGAGTTTTGCATTTGGTGGAATCCTGTTGAAGAAGTCAAGGTAAATTTGATAAAAACTGCTTCTCTCCTTCTTAGTAACTTTGGTCTCAAACTATAATTATGTATACTGGATATTGGTAATTAAACCCTATAAGGAAGTGCTTTATAATCGATTCAGAGGCTAATACATATATGAGCCTAGTGTTTCCTAAAAGTATCTTTATGAATGGAGATCACAACTATTGGTATAGGCTGATTAGTTAAGGTGAACTTGGTTTATGATCTTCCCTCCCTAGGTACCTCACTAGTACTCCCAAATTAGCTACCACTTAATGTCAGCTGCTACTCATCACTCCACCAAAAAAAAAAAAAAAAAAAATTTTTTTTCCAATCTAACTGGTATGTAAGTTCTATTAAAGTTCATATGAGATAGTACTTGATATTTTCTGTGAAATTTAAGATGAATACAGTTAAGAATGTTTTATCTGATTGGTCTTGAGATGCTTCACATTAGGGAGAGGGAGCTGTAGTTGACCATCTGATTTTGATAGGCTTAAAAGAGGTTTGTTACATTCTCAAATATTTTTCAGTAATAAGACTGAAGATGACTTCCTGATTTTTTTCCCCTCCAAAATTACTCTGACTGGTCCAAGGGATGGAACAAACAACAGAAAAAACTACCTTCCTACTTAGCTATCGTATTGTTCTAGTCAGATAGTCATGTGTTTTTTTTTCTTTTCTTTTTTTTTTGGTCCCTTAATGTTCACAAATGGCCTTAAAGAAAAGTATTGTCATTAGTAGTAATCACAAATGCTAAAACTATGTTGGAATCATTGTCTCCATTTCACAACTAGTGATCCCCAGCATGTGTTCCACTTTTAAACTTTGACTAACATGTAACTGTCTGAAATTATACTGTAGCAGAAAGTTACCATAAGTCATATTTGTATTCTACAGTTTGCTACAGTTGTTTGTATTGGGCATCTTAAGTCCTTGAAGTAAACCCTTCAAACATTAACAGTTGACTTTCAAAGATAAAAACTTAAACTTTACAGTTTAGGTTTTGAAAATTAAAAATCTAAGAGGAAAAATGGTAGATTCCAGCTCAAGTTTGAATACATCAGGCTAAGAACGGTTTACAAAATATTAACTATTATTTATGTGTTGACACAAAAGCATCTAAATATCAGGAAGACTGGTTTGGACAGGATTCCTGTTCTGGAGGTTAACCTAGACAGCATCTTTTGTACTTTCAGGTCATCTTTCTTAAGTGTTTTCTGTAATTGCAAAGAGAAAAAGGATACTTGGCATCAGGCTGTCCTTTCTTTCCATAAGCCCATTCTGGTTCAATCTCCAGTCGAGCCTTTTCTCCTTTACTCATAGTCAAGAGTGCTTCATCCCACTGAAGGCAAGAACATAAAACCAAAACTAATAATATTTGTAAAAACACAGGCAAAACCATAAGAGAGGGAAAATTACATACAAAAAAGCATTGTTACTAGATTTCACTATGCCTATGGTAATCTTTGTCCTTTATTTCCTCAATGAAAAAGAAAAAGGATGTATTGAACAGCAATTTTTTATTGTAAAACTTCCTCTAATATAATGTAAAAGCACTTTTGTAAACTGTAGCATGTCATACATTATGGAAACCAGTTTATTAGGGACACATATAGAACAAAGTTGTAAATTTGTTTTTACAGGGATAAACAAGTACTCACTCTAAGATATTCTTAAGATTACCAAATTGTAATAGTGGAGTCATGATGGCATATAAAATAACTACATGTTAGGGCATTAAGATCTTTTGCAGAAGGTAAAACTAACTATTCAAAGGAATGATAGAGGTTTCTGGACTGCTGCTCCATTTTGTCCAAATCTGGATCTTAAAGCCAGTTACCAAAAATATGTGAATCAACATGATAGGATGCAGAATACATTACTGATATACTCTGTTGAAATGTCACAATTACCTAAAACTCAAGGGATAGAGATAATCTGTCACATACTAGAAAAAAAGAATATGGTTGATGATAAGAAATTTACCAGTAAGCAAATTAGTTAATAGAAATACAAAACGTAGCTCAACTTGCTATAAAATTGCTATCAGTTTGGTATAATCAAATAGCAGTTAAGGTCATTTTCAACTAAACCCTTAATTTTAAGATGTTTTACATTCTATTTTGGGCTCCGGATATGAACAAACCCTATTTTAGGACTTACCCACAGTACAAAGAGTAACATATTGAGGGTTCTCATAAATAGGCTTTTTAGAAATTAGTGTCTGATGTTATGAGTAAAGAAAATTTAAAACAGTAAGTGGGCCCTCCTAGCATGGTAACTTTGATTCAGAGAAGCTGATAATCAGCCCTGTGCTTTTACCTGCTTTTGTACACAACAGTGGTAAGTTAAGCTCATGCTTACCTTATACCTTAATCAGTTTCCTTCTGTTATCTCTGAACTGTAAGGGTGGGTAGAAGCAACTTTATGTTTGAAAGATTTTCTGATGTTTGAGCCTAAATTGTGAGGGGTAAGAAGACTACAGAACAAATTCTTGCTTCTATTAGTACTTAAGTGGAACATATATTTTACCTTTTTCGGTTATGTATAAGTGGTACAACAGCTATAAGATATTTTACAATAATCTTACAGACAAATTTGGAAAGCCAAATATTTTAAGAATTGCCTTATGAAGAAAAAAATAATAAAAGGGAATATGTATGGAAGAAAATATTGTATGCTTTAAGCTCATTTAATCTTTTAACAACCTTGAGGTGAGCTGTACTGTCATTTTATAGGAGAAATTGTGCCACATCAGTTAGCAATGACAGCATCTGATTTGTCAGACTCCAAAGATTGTTATTATAGTTATCTCCAATCCTAGTTCTTTACAGTACTATACCACAAGTAGCATGTGCCAGAGTATCTTTGATTCATTGCCACTTTTTACTTACTCCTCTGATAACTTTGCCTATCCCAACCTTAAAACTTAAAGGCTTGGCATTTTTCTTCTTCTTTGAACCTGTAAAACAAATTTTCCTAATAATTAATGATGAAATTAAGTTTTAATAATGAAATTAAATTGTTGGAAAAACAGTGATTTAAGTCATTTGAAAAGAAAAATTTAGAAAGCCAGATAATTCATAAAATTCTGGATGCACAAATAATTATGGCCTAAAGGGGGAGATGGGAAGGACCTATATTTACACCACTAAAATAGCACACTATTGTGGCTTTTTATATGCTTCACTTTGGGACATTAATCAAGTTTAGACTGGTTTATTTTTGCTTTCCGGTGACCAAGAAGTCTTTTATTTACCTCGCCAATAAGTAGTGAACTAAAGACATCTTCCCTGTAAAACACAGGGGTAAACGACTTCTGGAAAAAAGTGACAACCAAGAGAAAGGCACTGCTAGTTATTCGCCTACTACACAAATATTCTGCAGTGCCTGAAAGCAAAAAAGATACAATTACATTTAGACTTACTTGTTTGAATATTAGTATCAAAAACAGTCCCATCCTGTAGTGTTCCTGTATACCAGCAGTGAACAACATCTCCCTTTTTGGGAAAGTTGGTTTTATCTCCTTTTTTAAGAACAGATTTTGTGTATTTGGGTGGACCCTAAACACAAAAACAATAGTTACTAATTGATGTCCTTCTTTTAGAAGGATGACAGAGAATAATACTTAGACAACCAGCTGTCACCTAAGTCCAGTCAGTTTCATGGATTTGGTAACTTTGCCTCTGGTTCACCTCTATGAGCTAAAAAATCTCATAGTTTCATTTGTAGTCTGTGATGAGAATATTATGTATTATTTAATTTCAAATAACTTCCAGTTTTGGAAACCAATCTTGTTTTGACAAGATTCTGTTAATCATTCAACAAAACCTAAAATTCAGTATTTTCCAAGGTTAGAAATATCATTACTATTTACTATAAAATTGTAAGGCATTAAATAGAGCATTGTGGTATCTTTTCAAAGATCTGAATTGTCAGCATCAGTGATTAGTATTACTATTTTATTATATTCAGTTAGAATGTAACATTGCATCTGTTCCTGAACTTGAAGTAAGTTCATACAGTGAACAACTGTCTATAGAAGTTAGCTTAATTACCATAGAAATTACCTCTTAAAACAAAGATTATCAGGGCCTTCTTTAAAAAAGCTAAAGGCTAATCTAATCAATGGTGGATTATATATGTGAGGAAAGCAATTTCTTAGTCAAGCTTAAGAATATGTAGAATTTTACATTATAGAACATTGAATAATGGGAAAGGAAATAAGAGATATTAAACACTTAGTATTTGAACACATTCCATCCCACTTAATGCTAATAACAGTCCTCTGAAGGAAATTTCACCAGCTTGCATTTTTGCAGATGAAGAGACTGATACTCAGGAAATTTATGCAACAGAGTTAATGACTAGTAGAAAATGAATATGGACTTGGGTTTGATTCCAAAGCCCCTGTTATTTCCACAGATACCTCAAACAATAGTGATAATGACAGTTAAAGTCTACTGAGTGCCCTCCATGTGCTGGGCACTATTCCAAATGTTTTACATAATTAATTCTTTAAATTGTCATTACTTTATGAAGCAGGTACTATTACTCCTAATTTACAGATAAGGCAACATAAGGATGGAGTGGTTAAGTAACCTGGTTAATGTCCTACAGCTCCTAAGTAGCTGAGTAGGATTGGAAACTAGGTAGTGTTGGATATAAAACCTATGATTTTAACCACTTTAGTACTCTCAGGCAAATATGGAATGTCAGGTATTATATATGTCTTTTTCTTATTTTTTCTACATCAATTAATTTAACCTCACAGCAACCTGGAAGCCTTTCCCCTATTTTTTATACAGAAAGTAAGGCCTGGATATAGGGTATAGCCCTATTAAGAGTCTGAGAATTAGCCCTTCCAACTAAAGTTAGACTGCCTCCCTAAACCAAAAGCAAATCCCATTTGCAGCTTGAGTACAATGTGTGTTATACAAGTAAGCATTAAGTTTCTCCCTGAGAAGCTCAGTCCAAGTTTTTTTCAGTGAGAAATGCTTACTGTAAATGGTAAGGTGTCTACTGGTTGCAGTGTAAACTGTTGTCATCTCTTTGGAATGCAATTCAACAATGTTAAAAGTGTGATAAATAATAATTCTACTTACACAAATATATGCTCAAGAAGTAATTTGAAATAGGAGAAAATCATTATGTAGTTATTCAGTACACTATTATCCATAATGGCAGAATAACCACATTTATGGTAATATAATAGTTGGTTTTTAACAATGTGGAAAGATTCTTACAACATTTCACTAAGTGAATAGTCCCAAGGCTATCCTGGAGTTATGTGCTTGAATAGACCTGGATTTGCAGCAATTTCTTAGTCCAGAGTGATGAAAAGAACTACATTGCTGAGACTGGGCCTGAATGAGATACTTGGAAGGAATTTTGAGAATAATGATTACAATAGCAATTAACTGGATCACATCACAACCTCTAAAAAAAGTATATTACATAATTACTCCTATAATTCAAGAAATATTTCAGTATGTTCTATGCATTAGAAACTGGAGATACATAGGTGAGCTGGCAGAACATGGTCCTGGCCTTCCCTCTAGCAGAGAATATAGACACGTGTATAACTACACATATTATGAGACCTATAAAGGAAGCACAGGGTGCTGACGAGAATGACACAGTGACATAATGGCCCAGCATGGCTTTAGGCTGGAAGAGGTTTCTCTGAAGTAATGTGTTTAAATTGTACATTGAAGGATAAGAGGATTGTTATTCAGGTGAATGAGGATAAGGTGTATAACAGAATAACATTTTCATAGCAGGGAAGAGCAAGAAATGAGGGAATGAAGGAGAGAATGGTATGAGATGAAGCTGGAAAGGCATAAAGCACAAGTTAAGAATCTTGAGTTTTTATTTTTAGGTCACTGAGCAGCCAATTACGAGTTGAAGCAGAGAAATTAAAGAATCAGGTTTGTGTTTTAAACAGATTGCTATGACCCAGTGTGAAAAATGGGTAAGGAATCAAAAGTGGGAATGGGGAGACTCGTAAGAAAAGATAAGTATAGTAGTCTAGATCTGTACTAGGGTATAAACAGTGATTATGACAAAACATGAAATTTTGAGATATATTTATGCAGAATTAACAGAATTCAGAGATGACTACATGTGAAGGAGTATAAAGAAGAATCTCAAATTTTTGGCTTGAGTACTTTTAATAGTCATTTTTGATTGCTGAGTGTGAGTTCCTGCCCCAACTTATACTTTATCTCTTGTCCAATATTCATTCATACTTGGAAACTTTCCTCAACACTATTTTATACATACAAGACAATAAATATATTGACTATGACTAATTTAAAATCCAGTAAGAGTTATTAGACAAAGTTCTTCATATTAAAATAAGGTAGAACTAAATAATATAATGTGCTACTGTAATTTATTCAGTTAGGTATGCAGTAAAGTCTGGAATGGTGGAACCTTGAGGAAGAAATGAGCCCATAACCTGGGTCTCAAAGGAGACACAGAACAAATAGGGAGGTTAAGAAGAAAGACACACTAAGCAAGAAATAAAAGTGTGGAAGTGGGAAATGGCAGTTGAGTAGACAATGAACAGACATTGTTGCCAAAGAATATTTTTTTAGAAGTAGTAAATATGGAGTTGGGCAGGGTCCAGATACTATAAAGGATTTTATGCCAAGAATGCTGGTCAAAAGAAATACATAATAGAGTCACAAATATATTTTAAACTGTCTAGTTGCTATATTAAACCAGAACATCCAAAGTAATATTTCAATGTGTAATCCATATAAAAAAAGAGAGACTTCACATTTTTAAAAAGAATTCATACTAAGCCTTTGAAATTGAGTGCATATTTTATACTGAAAACATTTCAGTTTGGGCCAGAAAGTGTTCAGCAGCCACATATGGCTGGTGACTACTGTATTGGACAATGCAGTTCTAGACAGTACATAATTACTTAAGATTTTTGAGCAGGATCAAAATATTATTTTAGAAAGCTTTGCAGAATAGCCATTTTGGGGCTAAAAGGATAAAGAGAATGAAGGCAGGAGATTAGTGACTTTTCCAACACTCCAGGGCTGAGGCCTTGGGATGCTTGAGAATCAAAAAGGAATGAAGGTTTGAAAAAGAAGGGAGACGTTGGGCAACATTAGTTCTGAGGAGGAGGAAAGAAAAAGAGAGCCAAAGATTCAGAGAACTTTAAAGCTGTGAAGAAAAGAATGGTTATAACATTTTGGTAAAATAGGACACAGGAATATACAATGAGATAAGTAAGAGGATTGAGGATTTGTCAGACGTGTCAGGTAGTTTATGTGGGCAACATGATAAGGAATTCAATAAGGGATGGTATAAAAGTTGCTGAGTAGCAGTGAAACCAGAAAACATTCCTGGCTCATATTAAGCATGAACTTATCCCAAGCCAAATAAACAGTTTTAGGATTCTTTTTCTTCAGAGTGTTTGCTCTGCAGTCTTCAAAGCATGAACAGAGAAAGCAGATAGCAATCAGCACAGTGTTGGCCAAGAGGCTATGGAATCTAGGTGTTAGGAAGACAATGAGAACATATGATTGGGCTCAGGCTGGCCAGTTAAATGAGATGAAATAGTCTTAAAAGGATATAGTTTAGGATCCTCAAAAGATCTCTCTAGATGGTCTCCAGCCCTTACAGCATTTTCCTTTTATCTGTTAATTCTCTTTTTCTTAACTCTCAATACTATCTGCCACCTCATACCTCCCTTATTCTAATTTTCTGGAAGGTAAAATGGGTTGCCAATTACTTCTGTAACCCTTTTAGTAATTACTGTATGTTTATTTACCTTAATAGCTATTAATATTTACCAGTACATAAACAATTATCAAATAGTAGTTGTGATAAATAGCTTTACTGTGTGTACACACCCATAAAAACTGTTATTTTCAACAAACAGGAAAATATCAGAGATTAACTAGCTTTAGTTATATAATCTTTTATTGATTCTAAACCTGAACTTAAACTATGTCCACAAGTATCTGAATGCTACACCTTCATCATTAGCCTATGCCTTTTTACACCACCAAAAGAATATTATTATTACATTATCATCAATGATACCTAAGACAGCTAGGAATGGGTGATCTTAATATATTATTGGGAATGGCAAGATTATAATCTTTTGAGCTCTGCTGCTACTGCTCTAAGAGCTGTCCTTTTTCAGAAATCGTTTTAGCTGGTTCTTCAAACCTTTGTACCAAAATAAAAAACCTAGGTTGGGAAAGATGAGACAGATTCATCCACACCCTGCAGCCTGGCCTGGGCTATTTCTATTCCCAAGGATACCATGTACATTAGAAAAAGCTAAAAATAATCAAAATGAAGTTTCTTTAGCTCAGTCCAACTGGCTATAGAATCAGGATCTTAAAATAGCTTTGGAAGCTCAGAAGTTCTTTCCAGACATAGAAGCAATATAAAATACAAGGCTAGAGGTATTTCACAGGAAAACTAACTGTAAAGCACTGGTTCTTTGGCTTTTTTTCTGATTCAAGTCCACATAAGAGATATAACACATTCTTGAATCAGTGTTTGGTTCTCTAGTAGTAGCCATACTCACTATCCCTTACTATGAGAAATAAAAACAGATTACTGTATACAAACCTCATCCAGTGTCTCTTCGGACTTGGTTTCTTTGGGTTTATCTTCATTAAGCTTCACATTTTTTACCTGCTCAGCCACTTTACTTATACTTTCAGTACCCTTGAAACGCTGTAAAGAAACATTCTAATGTTTATCATATTCAGGTCAGGGTAAAAGCCTGGAGGGACATTTAGATTTTCAGCTTCTCAATTAAATGAAATCTGCATCCATGAATACAGGCTACATAACTCAAATGTAAATAAATGGAATTATTTCCATTTCACAAAACAAATTCTGAAAGAAGAAGCATGACCTTTAGAAAGGCCAACTCAAACTCAGAGAGATGAATACTATTCAAACAACTCTCTTAATTTTCTGTGGAAGATGGTCATTTCATACTGAACAAATACTGAAGAATTTTTAGAAATTTGTTTTCCTAAACGCTAGTCTAACCAAGATTTTAAATTCATTAATGAAATGGAACTTACCTTGGATTTATATTTTTTTAGTATCCTTAAGAATTTGTCTTAAACTATTAGGGAATTATTTTAAAAATCTGGCTTTCTTTCAATATACCAAAATATCCTGCCAAAATGAAGATTGCTTGCTAGATTTGACAGCTGTCCATCAATAATTACAGTTAAAAAATGCAGGTGAAAAAACTTCAACATATTCTGCAAATAAATGCCACTTAAAACCTCTTGGGAATAAAATATCTAAAATGATATTCTGGTAATAAAATAACACATACCTTGCTTTCAAAAAGATGGTTATAGGCTGTAACCAAATGGTCCTTATTAGCTGTCTTGGCCACATTTTTAATGTTTCCTAATAACTTATGTTCTGCAAGAAACTATAAAGAAAAAAACTAGTTAAAATAATTTCCCTCATGTAAGAAACATCTAAAATTAGAAAATGACCTTTTATGTTAGCAATTAAGTTTTTAATAGTACTACTAATGAAAGAAGTAATGAAATAAGCACCATACTTTATACCCTATTTCAAAACAACAAAAATATTTTAAAACCATTGAGTATTTATGTAAAAAGTATTCACAAAACTGGAACTTTAATATTATGTAGGGGTTACAATGGTGCATACTAACCCTTTTCCCATCATGGAATTCACAGAAAAGACATGTATACAGCAAGCACATTCTGTGGACAAAGCAGCTCCTGGCAGGATGTTACTTGGCCCTGGCCCTAGGAGCCTCTAACCACTTTGAGCATAGCTATTTTGACCAGTCTGTAACCCATTCCTGGCAGACTGGGAAGCATTGTTACACAGTGCTGGATATATAGTGGTTAAGTATATGAGCTGAGAAGTGAGACCATCTGGGTTAAAATCCTAGCTGTCTGATCTTAGACAAGGGACTGAACTTTCCTAAAGATTCAGTTTCTGTATCGTAGCAGATTAGTAACAGCCTCTGTATCAGAGGATATGTTGTAAGGATAAATGCAATAATGCATTTAGCAGAGTCTGTTACACAGTAAGAACTCTTATCAGCTTTGTGATTAATACATGTTTAATAAAGTAAGAGTTCCATTTCTCTCAAGACTTTAGTTGGCAGATGGGCAACAAACTACTACTACTGAAATATCAAACTGAAATAATTTCATCTCAAAATCATGTAACATGGGGATGTTAATAACTTCGTTTCTCTTTTATTCTGCTTCCTGTTCTGCCTTATGGTTCTTGTTTGATTCCTCATTTTGTTACTTTCTCAAATTTGTGCTCTGGCATCTTCTAACCTTTTGATAAAGCAGTTTTTCTAACACTATCACTATTGTATTTTTTTTCCCTATGCTTCTCCTCTCTCCATCTTAGAGAAATGTTCTAAATAATAAAGGCTGAGGAAGAAAAGCTACTTCGATTAAACAGAAGTAATCGATTGCTTTTGCACTCTTGTGATTTCTTTAGCAAGGTTCTAGCAAAATATCCAAAATATGAACATCTCCTTGGTATTTTACGATCAATAAAATAGTGATTGTCAAATAGAGATGTACGTATATGAATGAACATTGGTGAAGGTGCACTTAATGTTACAAAAATATTTTGATAATTCACGTCTTGAAATTGTCCCATGTAGGCTAGTTTTATGTTCCATATTGGGGTGATCTGTTTTATAAGAATTTGATCAAGTACAGTATTGAGGCATTAAATGTTAATAAGTGATATGCCCATTCTAATCTATTGTTCTAGCTGATACAAGAACTGGTTTAAGAGAAATTCCACTAACATGGTAAAATGATATAAAATGGTATCCCTGAAGGATGGTCTTTTTCTCCTTGTTTTTGCTGTGTATGTTGAATAAACATTTGCTGATGTCAGGATAATCATTTAGGAGTATGTAACTGGAAGCTGGAGAATAACTATTATATACCCTTCAAGGTCCCTCAAAATCAAAATAAACTACATTCCTCACCAAAAAAGCCAAAAATAATTTTTCTAAATGCAAATTTTGAACATAAAAAATGGTTGAGAAATCACATAGATTGCTGCTTCTATTTCCGAACATGTATGCTTGCCGCGTGCCCAACAAATTGTGCAGTTCGTTCATCAAATTTAAGAGGTATGAACGATCTTAATTTCCGAAAGAGAAAAAAAGTGACGAAAATAACTTGTGACTACAGACGGGTGATGTTAAGATGGAGACGGCTGAAAAACGCAGGGCGCTGAGTATAATGTCAAATAGATTTCTTTGTTTCTAACAATGGGAGACCACTGTACCCTAAGTTGCCATGTAATACCACCAAGCGTAAAGGTGAAAATGTCACTATAGTGTCGATATTTTAGGAAGTTAAAGGCTATCTAAAGATTTAAAAAATTCACACGCATTAGTGTTCAGTATTTAGCAATCGACGAGCAATGCAAATCGCACACAGTTCCCACAAAAATCTTCATACCAATTCCCATCTCCCTAGTGGCCCGCACTCCCCTCCAGGGGATCTCCTCCGAGACCGAGTCCTCCGACGCCCGCCTCCGCCCCCCCGTATATCCGGGGTTCCTATTTTTTCCAGGCCTCCACCCCCATACTGGGAACCCAGAGATTCTAACTGCAACCACTGCTCGCGTGCCCAGGACGTAGGGCTGCTCCCCTCCCTCCGCCCCAGCGGGGCTAGCCCGAGGGGCTGGAGCGTGCCTCCCACGCGCACGCGGGGCCTCTCCGGCCTACCAGGCCCCGGGCCGCGGGAGGGCGAGGGCGGGGGCACAGAGGAATACGCAATGGACGGGCATCTCCGGGGGGGTGAGGCGTCCCTCAGCCGCACCAGCCTGGCCGCCCCGCCGCCTCTGGTACCGAATCTGAACCGTGGTCCTGAAGAAACTTGATAATATCCTTCTTGGGTAGCTGCTCGCTGCGCAGCTGCTCTACGGTCCAGGCCCGCTGTGGAACAGCCGCCGCCATCTTCCCCCGCTGCCTCTGCTCTACTGAGCCAGCCCGCCACAGCCGGCTCGCCCCGCCCCCAGGGCGGGGCTGGACTCCCCACGGGACTCTAGGGGGCGGGGTCCCTGTGCTACACCACGGGATTAGGGCTGGTCCTTGAGTGACGTCAAGGCAGCGCCTTGAGGTCTTTGCTGAGGCGGGTTGAAAACCAGCTGATGTGGCTCTGGCGGTTCAAGCAGAAGGCCGCTAACTGTCCTCTATGCTTACTCAACTCCTGTGAGGCGACCTCTGCGGGTGGTGGTATTTACCACTCATTACCCGCAATTGTTATTACCATGGGCTGCTCTGCCCTTTAAAGTCCATTACACGTTTAAAGAAAACAACAACTTTCAGACATATAGTCTCATGTTATCTAGTTCTAGATTAAATTTTTACACCTGAATTGGCTGTCTTTGTCCATCAGAACGACCCATATTACACCATCTCCCTTTAAAAACTCACAAATGAGACAAAACAAAAATACAACCTGTCCGCTTAATTCCCAAAATACAAACACAGGAAGTGTCTAAAAGGAACTTCAGAAACTTGACAAAACAATGTATAGAAGCTGCACGCAGGATGTCGCTTGCCGTTGGTGAAGAACGTGACATTATTAATGCTCAAAACGATCTCATGATGTGTGTGTACTTTTCTTCAATATATGAGAAGACAAATTTACTGAGGTTAAGTCTCCAGGTTTAGAGTGGCGAAGCCGGAAGTAGTATCCAAGTCTGAGGTAGAAAGCTATCGCTAGGATAGAATACCATGCCAACGCTTACCGCCCTACATTGTTAAGATGTAATGGTGTTGAAGTATTAGGACGATTTTTTTTCTTTCGAATTTTTTCCAACGAATATCAGGACCAAGTTACTCACTTTCCTTTTGACAATAAACATTCTAAAATAATGGATTGTCATTCCAAATACTGCTAAAAGGAGACCTGGAATTTTTTTTTCTCAGCCTTAAGTTATTTAACTCTATCAAAACACGTTTTTCACCTTTTCCGATTTAAAAATACAGTCAACAAAGAATAAAGCACATTAGGTGCCCAGTAACGTTAAGTTCACAAATATCTAAGTGTCTATTGTCCCTGAGATCTCAAGGTCATTTATTTTTATCATTTTAAACGATATCACTTTGACCGTGAGGCCCATACATCTAGTCATTGGAAACGGAACTCAAAGTCTATAAAAAAAAAAAAAACTGAAAGGGGGACTACATTTAGAGTAACTCCATAACAATGCGCATGCGTCTCCGGGTGGGCCGCGAGGGTTTCCGGAAAGCCAGCCAATTATATTCCCAATGCAAATTCAGTGGCGGCATTTTCGACTGGAGCAATTGGCCATAGTCCCGCCCTCAGGTTCCACTGTTTCGTGTGGAGGTAACCGATGGGGAGCGGAATCGTGGAAGTTGAGCTGCTGCAGCTGCTAGCGTCTGGGAGAAGCCTGCGGTGGTCGTCGGCCTTATGAGCGGACGGCAGAGAACGCTTTTCCAGACGTGGGGCTCTAGCATCTCCCGATCCGCCCGGGCTCCGGGTTGCAGGTCTGGAACTGAGCGGCCTCCGAGCCCTGCCACTTCCAGGGCGCGTTTTCCTGCAGCGGCACAGGGTGTGGAGGCTCAGCCGGAGTCGGACGATGATGTATACTTGGTAGCAGTGTACGAGGCGGAGCAGCAACTGAGTCTAGACAATGGCGGATTCTGCACCTCAGCGGGCGCCCTGTGGATTTACCCTACTAATTGCCCAGTGCGGGACTACCAGCTCCACATCGCCCGGACCGCTCTGTTCTGCAACACGCTGGTGTGTCTGCCCACCGGGTTGGGAAAGACCTTTATCGCCGCCGTGGTCATGTACAATTTCTACCGCTGGTTCCCTTCCGGCAAGGTAGTCTTCATGGCTCCTACGAAACCTCTGGTGACACAGCAGATCGAGGCTTGCTACCGGGTGATGGGTATTCCGCAATCCCACATGGCCGAAATGACAGGTATTTTAGAAAGAATAGGTTAATTTGAAATTAAAGGCTCTCTCCAGGGGAGAGCGCTCGTTCTGGTGGAAATTGAGCTAAAGGAATTCCTCACCCATGTGGACTAGACCCAGATCATAATATGCTTATTTGCTTGTAGCAAGGCCAGCCCTAATGAAATGGGTTGCTTTATTACCTCTTCGGAGAAGCCCCGTAGCTTGTCAGAGAATTTTGAAGCGATTGTAAGTGTATACCGCATTGGTAAGTGAACGTTAGGTTTCCTGACTTTCTTGCCTCTTCAGTTTCCCAGTTGAGGAATTTGCTCCTCTTCAAATGTTAGGCCATTTTGTAGGAATTCTCTAGACAGTCTAGTTGTGGTTTTCCGTTGAGAATCAGTATTGACATTTGGATCACAACAGGGCTTTAAAATATAGCATTCCAATGGTTTGTCAAATTGTTTAACTCTTGAAAACAGACTAGCAACGCAGGAATGCATTCTGAAAATAGGCCAGATATTTATATTTTACAAGTAATGGTTTAGAATGTAGCATGTCACTTTTATTTACAGGGTCTACTCAAGCTTTCACCAGGAAAGAAATCTGGGGCAGTAAGAGAGTCCTTTTTCTTACACCTCAAGTCATGGTAAATGATCTTACTAGAGGAGCTTGTCCTGCTGCTGAAGTAAAGTGTCTAGTTATTGATGAAGCTCATAAAGCTCTTGGGAACTATGCTTATTGCCAGGTAATATTTTGTTAAAAAGTATTTGTAGTGTGAACTTGTTAAAGAGTATTTTGGGGAATAATTATTAATGATGGAATTATTAATGGTATTATGACAAAACCTTATATGTCTGTTAACTCAGAGCAGATGATAGGAAATACTTCATTCAAACCAGTTTGAGCTTTTTTTTTTAAAGCTTAACAAGATCATTAATTTCAGTTGTGAGAGCCTAATTATGGTTGGGGCAGTGATCTAAAATAGGGCATGGATGCAGTTTTGGAACTAAGATAATCCAAAGATTGGAAGTGGATATGCAGTATCATTTCTTGGCAGCTTAGGTAAAAAAATACTTAACTATCAGCATTATAAGGATTGGATGACATAATGTATGCAACATACCTAATACAGTGCCTTGCAGTTAAGTACTATAGGAATATAAAGTACTATTGTGAAGAGGTGGGGTATGGCTGGAGAGCTACTTAAGGGGTCAGATTATGAAGGCATTTGTATTTTATGCTTAGCAGTTTGAATGCTTTTTACAGGCCATGGAAGATACAGGTGGTGGAGACAAATACAAAAATGTTTAGTGAGATGATACTTAAGATTGAAAGAGCTTAGAGGAGAAAAGCCTAAAGGCAGGGTATACAATGATATCAGGACTTTGGAATGACTCCCAGGCTTCTGACCTGGAAGATCATGAGGATGTTGGTACTACTAGTCAGGATGGAGACTTCTGGAGGCAGAGAAGATTTGGGGTATTGTGGAAAGATGGTACAGTTTTAGGTTGTTGAGTTTAGGTGTCTGTGAGGAATGTAGCTGTAGATTTTCAATAGGCAGCGGGTGATAGAAGTATGTATCTCAATGGAGAATTCTGGCTGGTATTACAAATTTGAAAATCATCAAATGTAGGTAGTTAAGACTGTAATAGCTGGTGATAGGGTATAGAGTACCCTCGATTTTGCACTCGATTTCATTTAGTGCAAAGAGGTGAATTTCAGTGTCAGTTTGTGGACTTTAAAAGTAATTTCCTTGGGGATTTTAAGTGTTGTTGCATTATATCTCTGTCTTGTCTTCTGGAGGGTTGTCATCTTATAGGTGATCTCAGTCAGGAAATGGATATTTTTCCATTTATTTGTATCTTTCCAAGTCAAGGTTTGTGAACCATTTGTTAAGGTTTCTGCCTGAGAGGTGCATTTAAATTTTTTTGTTCTACTTTTAATGGAATTCATTTTGTAGATTTAGCTTATACTTAGCAATTCTAATTTACATTAAAAAGTTTCTAGGCATTAAGTTTTTCTTTTTTCTTAGCTTCAAGGTTTATGCTTTTCTTGAGTACAATGAGAAATGCACTGACCTAATATCCAAATAGCTGTGTTTATGCTACTTTGAATATTACAAATATAGTTATCAACAGGCACACCAGCTTGACAGGAATGTAGTTTCCTTGGTTATAAACAAAACACCATTTCCTGTTCTACAGAATACTTGAGAATCCCTGATGGAAAATAGTAATGTGTTAGGGACATTTTTGTCTTTCATTTGTTTTGTTTTTAATTAGAACAATTCTATTTAAGTATCAGTTAAGTAGAATGTGCTATCTTTATGTGAATTCTGTATCATGTTAAAAAGAAACTCCATAAATAATATTTTTTGAGTATTACTCAAAATTTAGTTTGAGACTCATTGAATTCGTGCTTGATATAGGTTGAGATAGAGCTATTTTTAGATAATACGGTTTTACTGTTTCCTATGTGTAATGCAGAAGTATGGATATGGAGAGTTGTACCTGCAGCTCATTTTATTAGGGGTCCTTTTTCCTTGTCCTGGGCCCTCATGTGAAGGGGTATAGGAGTGTTGCAAAATATCCAATATTAATTATATTAATCATTAATCTTAAAAGAAGTGGGTGTTTAATTCAAACTGCAAAGTCTAGAATGATGCTTTGGTGCCACTGAGAAAATGTTTTAGGATTTAAAAGGATAGTTGAATTTATAAAATTTCCCCCAAATTAGCCTTATTCTTTTATGAATAAACTTAATTTAAAAGTTATGAGACTTCCACATAAAATCTAACTTCCTTAAAATAGTTTCCTAAAACAATGGTTTTTATTTCAAATCTAACTTCATATTAGTTTTATTTTTTACTATTTTTATGTTGTGATTGATCTTAATCTGGCAAATACACGTGTGGTTATAGAGGTAAGGTTAAACTGGCAGAAGCAATGGCGAGTGGACTCTCTTCTTCCATTTGTCCTTAAATTAGCCCTCTGAGCATTCTGATTTGCCTCTGTTTTAGGCCTTGACATTGTAGCTTTATATATATAGGAGAAATCCTAAGGTTTTTTGATTGGTGTAGAGTATAAACCTAAATCATTT